ATTTCCAGCCTATAAAAATTACTAATTTTTGCCACTTGTGTTTATCTGCATTTAGACTTTGATTTGGATAAATTAAGCTCTCAAGTGTTCCTTGCTTTATGAAACTCTGCATGTTGTACACTTCAACACAAATAAATGACTTGTACCATTAGAGGTTTAAATAATGTAATGTATTTCATGCTCAGCCTGAAGCTGGATTCCAATGAAGTTGCTAATGCACGTAATGATTAAGTGTAACTCAAATACTAACTGTGTTGTTGAAAACATGACAGGCAATAATTTGGTCTATTATATTCTGCCATTTAATTGCCTGGTACAGACATTCTCTGACACGTTATGAAGCAATGATTTACAATTATTCAAGCTGCAAAGGTCAGAAAGTGACATTATAATCATCTACATAGAGATCCCTTCTAATGCACAAAACTAGGTAGTGCCACACACACACACACACACACACACACACCTACTGCATTAGTAACTTTCTATTTAAGGTTTCTTAAACCAACTAGGAATAAATAGTTCAAAAGTACATTAATATGCAACTCAGAAATGCCTGGGATCTGCTCACAAATCTAGAGGTGATACATTCAGAAAATACTCTCATTCTCTCCTAAGTAAATCCTATACAATTATTTAACACTGTACACAGAAACCAAGACCACACACAGGGAAATGCAATCCCTAAATCAAGCACATCTTGGGGTCTACACTTCTGCAGATGACATACAAAACTTAGATATCTTTTGTTGCATTCACTGAAATCACAGGCCAATTACTGGTTTTAGATAACTCTTAAAATAACTAGAGCTGAAGAACAAGAACCTAAATTCATCAATTTTACCCCTAATAAAAGATGATATAATCTTTATTTTGGAGGCACTATTTCTATCACACAAATATATTCAATCTGCAACCATTCAAGTAAAAGCAATAAATTATCAATACATGAAGGAGAGTGGTGGCAAAATAGTAATGTTATTTAAAAGTAGGAAGAATCAAACAGAGAGATTAGAAAACAGAGTAATTACCAGAATATGAAAGTAAAACACTGAATGTAATTTTTTAAAAACAACACAAATCTGAGCAAAAACAGAAAATAAAACTGGCCAGTGGTGCAGAGTAGGTAAGTTATATTTATACAGAGAGAAAAATACAGATTAAAGTCAAATCAGAAACAGAAGAAAAGGAAATATAACAAAAAGAAATAAAAAGAATAGTTATTAGGAAGACAATTAAATACATCAGTAAAAACGTTTAGAATCTACATTTTCCATCTGCAAAGTGGGGATAATGAACATGAGCTAAATAGTCTCAAAGCTATAAAGACCAGCAAATAAGCTGAACATCAATCAATGCATTTACTAAACCACAAAGCACAGCAAAAATACTATTATTAAAAGGATTACATGCACTATTTTATACACAGAGAAAATAAATTTAAGAGAACATAAAAAGAACACAGTATATAAAATGATTTTCTTAAGTCACTGAGATTTTTAAGTTCTTGACTACTGAAAAAAATAAAGGTAGAGATCATGAATTTAATAAAAATATTCTGTGGCCTATTTTCAAACATAAAATTATTAACTTTTACATAAGGATGCTTTCTATTATCTCCCATTTTCCTTCCATTAAGCCCCACGTCAGGTTCATACATTTTCATGATAACTATCCATCAAATGCTTCATTATAAACATATCTACAGTCTGTAAAATCCCTCTCTTGATTACAAGCAGAGTTAAGAAAAACACTAAGAAACTCTACGATTCAAAAAACTGCACCTCCAGAAAGTGAAAGTAAAAATAAATGGCCCTTAAATGAAGTCATCTGTAACAAATACCTAAAACATGAAATGCAAGGCGATAATATTTTTGAAAATTTTACCATGATATCAGCAGATCAACTTTGGGTAAAATACATTAAGTCCTGATTTTTGAGTCCTAAGTATCCGAAGAAACAGAAATTTAACACATTTAACTTCTTTTGTCAAACTAACAAATTCAGAATATACTATAGCTCAGATCTGCCAATGAGGGAGGAGAAAAACATTTAAAATTGATCTTCATGATTCAAAAAAAAAAAAAAAAATCAACATAGGTCCAGACAGCAAAATGTAAGAGGTTCATGAATTGTGACAAATAGAGTTTTCTAACAAGAGATGGGAATAATAAGGCATGCTGGGTGTGGTTTATAGATTGTGATAAATATACTAACATAAGATGGTAACGACAGGGGAGGGTGGAGAGGGGTATCTAGGAACTCTGTATTACTTCATGGTTTTTGTTTTGTAAATTTAAAACTGCTCCAAAAGTAAAAGTGAAAAAAAATGTTTAAAAGGCAGTTTTTATTAAGGGAGTCGCCAATAAACAACCAACCCTAAAACGAAGTCTTAGTGAAAAACAGGATACACAGTTTACAAGCACCTATAATCCTCTCATGTGAAGACGAGAGAGAGAGGTCAAACAATAAAATAATCCGAAGCATACAAAACATACTATTTGCTGTTTCCATCATTTTCATGGAAAAAAAAAAAAACCTGGTTTTTCTTCAAGAAAACAGAGGTTGTGAAGAAACCAAGAATTTGATACTGTAATAATTTCACTTTTAAAGAATCTTCCCTTGATCAGTGTGTGTGTGTGTGTGTGTGTGTGTAACTCAATCAGGACTATTTGAGAAATAACTTCTTAAAGTCAAACAGTGAAGAGGTCATCAATAAAATTCTAAAAGACAGACTAAGATATTAACTACTGGAGAAAAGAAAACACAGGGTAGAACCTTCTGTTTGTGACAAAATTACAGAGTTAATGTTCCTGAAAGATCACTTCACCTTTTAAAGCATGATTTTGTAAAAGGTAAAATTTACAGCAATTAAAGCTAATGAAGAAATGCAGCATGTGCTGCTTATGTTCAGGAACTAATAGGCCCAGTGAGCATTTCTAAGATTATTGAGCCATCAATGATAATGAATTGACATTGTCAGTGATGTTAACATACCAACGTTCCCTCATGACATAAACCTGAGAGTCAATCCTTGCATTTTTTTGTCTTCCACTTTAACCTGTACCCCGTCGAATGCATTTGAAACACATGAAATACAGAACAAGCTTTGACGCCTTTTCTTGAACACTGACCTACTTGATTCATTATTGTTCTGTCTCAACTACACAGATCAACAGGCCTTCTTCAGTTTATGGCAACTTTCTGCTCATTTCAGAAATATCTAACCAGTGAAAATTACTGCTATGTAAACTTTAAATCAAAATTGATTTTTTAAAAAAGAGAGAAGTATCATTTCACAGTAAGATGAAACTCAACTGCCACCATAATTCTAAGAGTTATAATTTTGAAATCCAGAATGGTTGTTCTACACATACACAGAGCTCTCTTATGCACCAATACAAAATTCAACATATGTGTATTTATAATTCTATATCTTTGGAACCAAATGTATCAACTATTAGGGCAACATTTCAATTGCATGAGGTAAGCAATTAGCTAAGCAAAGTGTACATTGTTCAAATTATACAATAATTTATTGTATATATGTCAGAAACTGTTCTCTGAAAGTTTCTTCTCTTTCCAGTGTCTTAGCAAGAAAAAAAATGAATGAAATTAGATTGTCATTGACAGAATATGCAAAAATTGTTTACTTATTTCTCAGAAACGAGAAAGAAAGGGCTTACTGGCACCTAACAGCAAATTTTCTCTAGCATCAGGGCCTTCTTTCCTATAACTCACACAGTAAAAACAACAACTGAGATATCTTACAATTCTAAGGCCTACAGCAATTAAAATGAACCATTGGCACTTGACCCTTCTAGCTAAAATCACCAGTAACAAAACTCATTCTCCCAGTGATCTTCAGAGGGCTTTAGGGCAAAGGTTCATCTTCATTTACTTTAGCTACAAGTCACTGAACCATCAATTCTGCCAATGAATAAATCACAGACCATGGTTAATAAAACTGCTTGCAAAGTTATTTGTTAAACTATCTTAAGGGTCAGAAAATGCAACTCTACCCCAGCATAAAGAGGTACTGTCCAGCAAAGGCAGAGCCTGTTCCTCTTTAAAAAATATTTATGTAATAGTATCAACCAGAAGAACCATCTACTTAAAAAGAATCTATAACATGTACGTTGGATGATTTAATTGAACCTACAGTATTTTGTGAATTAATGGTAAGAACGGCACATCTCTCAAGTTTCACATAAAATGTTTTTTATATGATGCACTTATTAATTTCCCTAATATAATAACATTAAAATATATTTTAATCAGAATTAGGGTATTAAAATCCACCTCTGAATGTCCTTTGATATACCATATGTTATAGCATTTTAAAACCTCTAAAACATTTCTGCAAAATCAGTTTTGCATTAAGACACCTCAACACTTTCTTTAAATGCAACACACTTGAGTGACAAACACTGTGAATGATTCTTCACAGAAAAGACTCATTTAATTTAAAAAGGAAACAAGTACTGAAATAAAGTTACACAAAAACATATCATACACTGCTTTTTTCACCCATCATCACTGCTGTCATTAGTAACTAGCCATCTGAAATGAAATCTTTTGAATTTTTTTCTTACAGAATATGTCCAGTGAATCCAAAGACCCACTAATGTAATTAAAACTAAAGCAATATACCAAAAAAAACCATATATACATCCTAAAGCTATATTATGTATTTTTTATGTCTTTAAATAGAATTTATAGTTCTCTCTGGCAATGTGAATGAACATCCTATAATTTAGTCAATTTACAGATTACAGGTTCAAATTGACCTTGTAGCCCATAAAATTGCTCATCTTTAGTGCGGATTAGAAGTGGGAGAGGAATGTCATAACTGTATTTAAGGAATTTACCATAACAATGGAAAGGAGGATGCGCATGCATAATTTGAGCCCCTCTTCCTCCGATCAGTCTGAATTCTGAAACAATGGCTGTCCTGCACATGCTCCGGGCTCACACAGCAGAGCTGCTCCACTACTCACCCACAGATGTGACACTTGTATTCCCTCATCCCTAGGTGCCTCTTCACGTGGTTTCTGGCATCTCCAAGCTGAGCTGTTGCAAAATGGCATATCTTGCACTTGAACGGTTTCGATCCTGAGTAAATATGATTTGAATTTGAATACATTACCAATAGTTGAAAAGTGAAGGCCAAATCTTAAATCATACCTTTAACCTAACTAAGGATTTCTGTGCCCAAAATGGAATACTTGCATTCATCTATAACTCAAATAGAACTGATTCCATAATTACTCGACCAGAGATGTTACTGTTTCAGTGAGTCTTCTTATTTTTTGATAATAACAAAGTAAGTCAAAGTGACATTGTTGAGCAGTACTAAGCAAAAGCAATGCACTAAATAATTTTAAGTATTTTTCTTACAAGTCACAAAAATATCTCTGAAAGTCATTCAACACGCAGAGTGGAGCATTTTAAAGACATGAATGCACGTAGGGAGCTGATTTTTCCGGCATGTTTATATTTATCATCAGGTATATTGTCAGTGGCCAACTCTTCATATTTCTCCAGCTTTGCATTTATTCTTGTTAATGGCACCCCAGATTTTTTCTGGATATATCCTAAATGATCTATCACATTACTACATTAATAATATACAAGGTATGAACATGTAGTGTATAAGTTACTGTACTTTTGATAAAAATTCTGTGATGATTTAGCAAACCAGAAAGAAATATTGACATCCTGCTCACTATTGATTTTAATAAAAATACTTCAACACAACAGGCATATTAGCCATAAAATTTTTAGTCATTTCATAAAGAAATAACATTAAACTGTACCAAAAATGAGAAAATAAAATTATTTCAAAGATAACAAACTTACTGTCAGAGTAATAAGTAAGGTTCTAAGTGGAACATACTATTAGATAATATCTAACCACTTCAAAGAGGGTAACACTGTTAAGGAACAAAAAAAAAATATATATATATATATATATACACACACACACAATATTTTCAAATCTTCTCAGCAGTACATGTACAAATAAATGAATCAAAATTCTGAAAAAAAATCATAGTTTAAAATCAGTACAATGTTTCCAGATTTTTCATATCATATTTAGTACCTATCTTCTATTACGGTTGGATAGAATATGAAATATGGGCGCTTTAATAAACATACAAAAAGAACTCAAATAAAAAATTATAATAAATCATATTTTATCAATGAACCTTTGTGCAGTGCCCTTGGGGGAAAAAAAATCCTCCAAGAATACTCTGTTGAAATTGAAGCACTCAGTAAAAAATTTTAGAGTCTTAAATTTCAATTTAATTCCCAAAAGCTGACAAAAAAAAAGTGAAGCATTTAATTTTAATCTTCCAACAGAAATAAAAAAGTCAACAGTACTAAGCACAGGGAGACAAGGTTGAATATTTCACAGTTCAATGACAATGAAGCCAGATCTCTTAATACTTCCATTTCTACTGTTAGAAGTAGCTTTAAAATATATTTAGCACCTGAATGGTTATATCCAGTCAGGTTTATATGTTTAAATGTCAAAAGCAAGTTGAGATTGCAGCTTACAGAAATCACATTCTATCAATCATATTAGAAACTACAGTTTATTTAAATAATTGTGATAAAACTAAGTCTATCACTACTTTGGAATATGGTATCTATGCAAAGAATTCTATAGTCTTTTGCCAAAACAAAACCAACTGAGGAAAACCAATTTACAATTTACCTTTAAAGATAATAGGGTAATTAGGAACTTATTAACTAACCATAATAATCAGGACTTTGAACAAAGGAAATTCTCGACGTTTCCATTCTGGTTTTGGTGAATGGACAGCAGCTCTCTCTGGGATCTGAGTTTTCATTCTGGGCACTCTCTACTGGGACTAGCTCCTCCTCTTGTGACACAGCCACCACAGGGGCCTGGACACAGTGGGGGAGAGGGGTGACATTGTCTATGTACTGGAGGTGGTTCCTTAGTGAAACTCTCTACTTCCTGTAAGTCACCAGGATCGATGCCATGGTGTGTTGACACCACTTACAGGAGTTACCCTGTTGACTGCTTTACCCAGAATCACTGAGGCCTTAACTATTTGTTGTACGATTTCAGGTTACATGATGTTATTTCCTTTGTGTGTTAACAAAACTTCAAACAGGGGCCAGTGCTATGGTGTAGCAGGTTAAGCCTCTGCCTGTGACACCAGCATCCCATATGGGTACCATTCAAGACCCAGCTGCTCCACTTCTGATTCAGTTCCCTGTTAATGCACCTGGGAAAGCAGCAGCAGATGGTCCAAGTGCTTAGGACCCTACACCCATGTGAGAGACCCAGAAGACACTCCTGGCTTCAGCATGGCCCAGCCCCAGCCGTTGTGGCCATCTGGGGAGTGAACCAGTGGATGGAAAGTGTCTTGGGCTTGCTCGTTCTCGTGCTTTCTCTCTCTCTCCTGTAACTCTGTCTTTTAAATAAATAAAAAATAAATCTTGGGGGTGGTATTGTGGCTCAGCGGGAAAAATCGGCGCTGCATCCCACACAGGTGCTGGTCCGTGTCCTGGCTGCTCCTCTTCCAGTCCAGCTCTACACCACGGCCCAGGAAAGCAGAGAAGATGGCGCAAGTGCTTAGGCCCTGCACCCGCATGGGAGACCTAGAGGGAGCTCCTGGCTCCCGGCTTCAGAATGGCCCAGCTCTGGCCATTGCAGCCAGTTGGGGAGTGAACCAGCAGATGGAAGACCTCTCTCTCTGTCTCTCCCTCTCTGTCTGCATCGCTACCTCTCAAATAAATAAAAAAATACATAAATCTTTTAAAAATAAATAAAAAGTAAATATTTGAAAAACAAAAGGAATGTTCAAATACTAGTTGAGCTAATGCTTCTCTGTGTAAGAAAGGAAACCTGTCCTTTTCTCCCCAACTGGTTACCTTACCATTCTAAAGCTTGCTATACAGACTCCAAAATGAATCCAGCCAGGGTGTTTTTGGGACAAAATTAGTAACACCAGGTATTTCTAATTTTTTTTCTCTCAGGTGTATTTTCATCACAAACTTTCAGTACCATTTTATTTATTTTATTTTATTTTATTTTATTTATTTTTTGGACAGGCAGAGTGGATAGTGAGAGAGAGAGACAGAGAGAAAGGTCTTCCCTTTGCCATTGGTTCACCCTCCAATGGCTGCCATGGCTGGCACACTGCGTCCGGCACACCGCGCTGATCCGAAGGCAGTAGCCAGGTGCTTCTCCTGGTCTCCCAAGGGGTGCAGGGCCCAAGCACTTGGGCCATCCTCCACTGCCTTCCAGGGCCACAGCAGAGAGCTGGCCTGGAAGAGGGACAACCGTGAAAGAATCCAGCGCCCCGACTGGGACTAGAACCCGGTGTGCCGGCGCCTCTAGGTGGAGGATTAGCCTAGTGAGCCGCGGCGCCGGCCTCAGTACCATTTTAAATAGCTCCATTCCTTGAAACAGCATTACCCTTGGAAGGTTTTCTTGTTTTACTAAGGCTCTCTGTCTCATATCTTAGCTATTTTACAACAAGAACTCCAGAGACTAAAAACAAAGCCTTCACTCAGACCTAAAGGGGCATTTCTCAGCTATCACTTATTGCTAACTGCCATGCATAATAACATGCAAAATAAAAACCAAAAATGCTCAGTTCTTAAAAGAATGGAATAAAACACACATTACTCATCACCTAATGCCTCTCCACCCTAGCCTTAATTCTATAATTATCACTAAACTTCTGAAAACACCATTCATTCATCCATCTGCTCATGCACTTATTCATTCAACAAACTACACTGAGGGCCAACTACAGTGGGGTGTGGAACCAAAGCAGTGAAGGAAGTCACTCCCGTTCTCCCTGTGCTTCAAGTCTACAAATTCAGGCTCCTAGTCCCCTGAACGGCTCCCTGCTGAGCTACAGCACTTCCCAGCCCTAGCCCAGAGATCGCTTCAGAACAGAAAAGCATGAGAAAACCTGGGATGCTTTTTTCCTACAATTCTTGATCACCCAAACTCATTTGTTTCCTACACTGCTCCTTTTTTTTTTCCTGCTAAGGATGGGAAGAAAAGGTTATATAAAACATATAGTAAATCACAAAATATGAAAACAGGGATTGGAAGAGTAAGCCCTTTTCCAGTTAATCATTAATAACAGACCACGCATTGCTGTTCATGGACATAAGGAAAGTCTCAGGAAAGCAATTCATTTTAAGATGCTCGAAGACAAATCTCTGGATTAAAACCTCAAGACCAACTTCCCCCAAAAATGACTTGCAAAATGGAAATGGTAGACTGGTATTTTGTACTCAGAAATGGTGTTCTTTTTAGTACTTCAAAACACAATAAAAATGTACTTGCTGATAAGGCCAACACAAGATTTTTTTAAAGTATGCTAACTTTTACTAAATGTTACAATCAATGATGTAACTTATATAAGTAGGGTTACTTTGTCACATATTGATAGTTACTTCACTTTCACATCCACATTAACTTGATTTTAAATGCAATTAATACATATAGTCAAGGAAGACTAATGGACTACATTCTGCACTTAACCTGGTGGACATTTTCAAATGGCACAAGTGACCAGTGCAAACCTATTTTGCATTGTAAACGACTAAATAAATCTTAATGGATTAAGAATGATCAGCTATCAACACACAAGGGAAATTAAGTGCTGAAATGCCTACATTGATTATTTTAAATTATTAGCCTTACTCTGTTCTTGAATTTGTATGCTTTTAGTGAGCTTTAACACATTTACAAGACTTATTGACTATAATTACAAGAGAATTCAAGTAATGGACACATCAATTATAAGCAACATGTCTTGACCAGACAGTTGCATAAAGAATTCTAAAAAGAGCTCCATTAGCATCTTCCTCTAGTTTTATTCAGTTTTATCTGCCTTAAGAGAGCATACTAAGAAAGTGCATAGTTTCCATGTACATAAACATAATTTCTAAAACCCTGTTATTTCAGAAAGTAAACTGCAACCAGGAACTGACAGACGTACCCATAAAGCAAACAAGTAAGCATTTAGACTATTCCCCCGAAACAGTTCTATTCCATAGGAGAGTTGGGATCAAAAGTACAATGTTTGTATTTACCTACATGAATCTTATGCAGGTTGCCGTGCTACTCTCAGGAAAAACTTTCATCTATCTTTAATCATCCTAAACTAGTAATAATGCTTCAATTCTTTTGTCTCCCTCCTTGTAACCATGCACTAAGTTTCAAAAACTGCATGAATCTAAAGTATAGCTTTAATAATAAGCCATTATTTAAAAGTACAGTAAAATAAACCATACAGTTTTAATGAAAATATGTTCATTGAAATGTGAATTTATTATTCAAATCCACTCATAAATTCAACCATGGAGACAGAACTTGTCTAAGCATAGCACAATGATTTAGAAAAGCTGTCTATTTAAAATAAAGAATGTATGGCAGGTTTACAGAAACAGTGCAGGGAATTTTTACATAAATTTAGAACAGTAGCTTATGCATTTTCCACCCAAAAAAAGTTTTTTTTTAGATTTCTACCTAAAATGAAACACTAAAATGAAACACTAAACGTGATGGAGCACAGAACCTAATTCTGGTGCTACCTCTAGGAAATCACATCTCCAGTACCCATTAACTTCAAAAAGTGCTGACTAATTTTGATCCTTGCAGATAGAATCTTGTTGCCTAGAGGCTACATTTTGGATATAAAATATCTGGCAATAAATACTTTTAAGTCCCTGCAATTGTAAGAAAAATTTTAATAGGCCTTTTGAAAACAGAGTACCACTTAATTTAGTACATACTTGGGAAAACTAAATAATTAGGACTGAAACTCAACTGGAAAGCTGTAAGAGACAAGCATTTATTGAAGACATCAGATGGACTAGAATTTTGAGAAAATTCACAGACACTTGTCAACTAACCTGCCTCAGGAATCACCTTTAGAAATGCCAGGTGTCAACAAGGGGTTGTCACATTTGGAATACCACAGAGCAGTGAAATGTGAACTTAGAGCAAAGTCAACAAGAAAATGCAGTGGGGCTCTGCATCTGGCTGGGAACGAACGTCCAGATGGAATCATTCATTTGTACTTTAGATTCACACAGGCTTGCCACATGCTTTACCTACCTGTATGGGTGCGAATATGTGCCAGGAATGCCATTGAATTGCTACTTCGACACATCTTCCCACAATACTTGCAAACATTCCCCTGGTTTTCCTCTCTCTCACGGTTGATCTGCTCAGTGTCTTCCACAATATACTTATTCACTTCCCGTAGCAATTCCTCATGCTGTCCTTTGATATGTAGAAATAAATTCTGTTCGGAATCAAAGGGCTCTGTACACTTGACACATTTAAAGGTGGCCCCTCCCTCCGGGAGCTCTTCAACACTAGCCTGTTCATTTCTCATATGACCAGCACTAGCCAAATGCTGATGAAGGTTGCTTTCTGTGTAGAATGACTTTCCACACAGCAAACAATGGAAGTGCTTCTCTTTTGTAGGGTGCTTCATGGCTATGTGGACATTTAGTCCACTCAGTCCATCTGCTAAGAAGCCGCAGTCATCGCAACGAATCCGTGTGGACTCGCCAAAGGAACTGCCTTCAGGCTTCTTCCTTTTCAGGCCCTGAGCACAGTCTTTCAAGGGCAGCTCGCTGATCCTCACCCCTGCTGCTACCAGACCCTCCTCAGACTGCTCGATCAACTCACCATCTTCAGGGTTCTTTATTCGTACTATGGAAGAATCAAACCGGCCAAAACTGCACAAGGCCTGCCCTTTATCATCAATACTGATTACAGTTTCATAAACATCACTACTTTCAACCGTGCCATCAGAAGCAGGGCCGTCTTCTTCCAAAACAATTTCAGTTTCATGCTGGGAATTCATCAGAATTCCCTTATTCTCCAGAACAGGATTTTCTTGTACACCTTTCAAATCCTCCAAACTATGTGCACACCCAACCGTGTCTCGGCCACTGCTGTCCAGCGTAGGCTGCTCTCTTGTAACACTCGTCACAACAGGGGCAGGGCTCTCAGCTGCGTGCGCCCCATCCAGAACCCCAGGACTCAGGTGTTTGGGCAGGACTTGGCCTCCACTATCTCCCGTGCTTCCACCACCAACTTCACAATGCATACTGGCATCAGCAATATCATTCAGCATTTCATGCTTTTTCTTTGCTGTCTCACAATTCAAAACAGAACTTCCTGAATTTTCATCTTGAAATCTGCTTGGGGAATCAAAATTGGAAGAAATATTAAGGGAAACCATCTCCTCAGGTTTCACCACTTTACTCCCGTCAAGGGGCTGCTGGAAAGCCTGACAAAAGGAATGGTCTTCACTGAACGTGGACTCTTCCCCAGCCTCGGTTTCCACAGAGTCAGGAGCACAGAGCACTTTAGACATGTCTGAGTCCGCACGCTCATCTGAAACAGGGCCACCTGCTCCACTTCCGGATTTCAGCGCATCAGATGACTGACGTGAGATTAACTGAAACTCCTCAGCGTTTTGCCGAGGCTCCTCTTCTGGCACGGGGATATTTCTGGACACTTCTGCAGAACCCGCGTCCACATGAGAAGCGCTGAGGTAGGACTGCCTCTTCATCTTGTGCTTCTCGGTGGCTGCGTGCCTTGTCATCTCTCTACGAGTTACTGCATAGTAATCACACGCCATGCAATAGAACTCAAACTCTTTTGTATGTTTCCGTTTTACGTGCAACTCGAGAGAAGCCGAAGAGTGAGCACTGAACTCACAGTGTAGACATTTGTTATCACTCGTACCTGTAACATCCCCTTGATGGAGAGAGTCTTCTGGCTCTAAAGATATTTGTCCCTTCTTGTCAATAGCTTCCCCATCTAAAGAATGAAATTCACTTTCAACTTCGACTTCATTTGCATTTCCATGATCTCCTGGCTTTTCTAAAGCAGAGTTCTCTGCCTCAGCTGACTTACTAGCCTGCTCATCTGAAGTCGTCACTGCTGAAGTGGTGTTCTTTTTGCAGGGTTCAAGATGACCCCCTTCAGGGCCAACGATGATATCTGAACTTTGCTTTCCATTGGCTTCTATTTCTACTCGTCCTTTGTGCTTCTTAGTGGCACAATGACGTTCCATATCTCCCTTAGTGACAGTGTAATACTTACACACTTTGCATAAGTAACTATACTGGTGACTGTGCTTTCGTCTAATGTGGACAGTCAAATTGGTAATACTAGAGGCCAAAAGACCACAGTGTGTGCATGTCCTCGAGACATGACCTCTGGGTCTCCCTCTCTTTGGAGTAGAGGTCAAAGTGAACTCGTCGTCTTTGGTGATGACACTGGGCTGCGAGAGCTCCCTAGGGGTCAGCGTGCCCTTCTCAAGAGGCGGGTGTTCCTGTGACGGCACACCCACGTGGCCTTCAGTCCTCCCGTTTCCAGAAACACTAAACTCTTCTTTTCTGTCATTCGCGCCTATACATATCCTTTCAATACATTCTTCAAAGCTTAAGCCAATATTATTTTTCTTAGCATTTTCAAGATGCTTGCTTCGTTTAATGTGCTTCTCCATTCCCTCTTTGCTCAAGGAGTAAAGATTACACGCTTTACAAAGAAAGTGATAGTCCTGACCATGCCGAAGTTTAATGTGTCTTGTGAGAACAGTGGACGATCTGGTTTTATAAAAACACTTCTTACACTGAAACTGAGGCTTACTCGAATGCCTAACTTCATTTCCATGGCTTACCCTGGATTTGACAGGTTCTTCCTGAGCTGCTTTTCCTGACTCATTCAAACGCTCTTTTGTGTTTTCTGATTCTAATGTACTTAACGGTAAAGTCTGTAAAACCATATCATTGTTGAATGACTGAGAAGTCTTTCGTTGAACCAACAAACTCATATGTTTCTCAGTTGCTTTGTGTTCTTCCAAGTCTTTCTCGGACAAGAAGAACAGATTACAAGGGGTACAAAAAACACTCATGCTGTGCTTCTCCTTCATGTGGTCTCTGAGATTTACTCCAGCCGAGGAAACAAATGAACAACACTGACAACTGAGGACAGAAGCAGTTTGCTGATGCTGGCTCTTGTGCAAATGCTCATCGAAGTCCCTCCTCGACACACTGGAAAAGTCACAAGCCTGGCAGCAGAATTTTGTCTCTCTGGCGTGGCACCTTTTCACATGGATTCCCAAGTCTGTCCTGTTTGCACAAGTAGACCCATGACAGTCAGAGGCCGGTCTCACTGTCAGGGAGTCCAGCTGCACGGGGCCCAAGAGAGGGGAGTCCCTCTTGTCCTGTGTCAGTTCCTGGGGGGTTGAGGTAGTCACACACAGGTTCTGGACACTGTCGCTCACATCCACATGCTTGAGCACTGACTCTGCATCACTTGTTTTCGTCTGTGTCTTAAAGTGTCTTGCATACATCCTCTGAGTCTCACTTGCACCTCTTTTACTAATTCCTAAGAGATTAAACCTTTTCTTTGCCTGACCCTTCAAGCTGAAAGTGCCACTGCGTCTTCGAAAGCTGCTACCTAGCACTAGAACATTCCGGTCGGGTCTTGGCCTTGAGGCTGCACTGATATTATGTGCTGCCTGCAGAGTGTTTTTGGTAGATTCCAATTTACCTAAGAGACTCTCTGAGGTTACTAAGCCTCCTAGTTTCTTGCCCTGGTTTTCAGGATTTCGAGTTATACCAAGGGAAGTCATGTTTCCTTCGACGACCTCTACTTTGTCTGACAAAGTGTTTCTGGAGGGCATCATTTCAACAAGGAGCTCGCTACCGCTGCCACTCTGCTTAGAAACGTTTCCTCTGAAATCTTTAAACTTGCTCGCAACATTCCGGAACCCTTTTGAATCGCTACTCTTTGTCATTGGTTTAGAAGCTCTTGGTTTTGCTCGAACAGTCTTTGTCCCCATGGTACACGTTTTCTTAGGAAACGGCTGTTTTGTTAAAATCTGCACAAAGCCTCCACGAGCAGCAAGGTTCTGGCGCCGGAGATGTGTCTTGCCAAGATAATGTGCACTCAGCAGGTTTTCCTCCACGCAGTGAAAGCCACAAAGATCACAGGAAAAGACCTTCTGGGGCCCATGTGTGTGTCTGGAGTGCAGGTGCACAGCAGAGCTGCTGTCCGCTTGGTGGCTACACTGGCAGCAGGTATGTTCCTTAGACGCTGGTCTGAGACAGTCAGCATGTTTTTCCAAATCAGAAAGAGAGGAGAACAAACGGCCACATCTGCTGCACTTGGTGACTCTGTCTACAGCTACAACAGCACAACCAACACTCACTTCTTTCAGGGGAGAAGGGGATTCTCTTTCCGCATCCAGGGAAACCATCTCCTGCACAGGCTTTTTTTCAGCATCTGTTTTTAGAGAAACGGCATCCACAGCGCTTAAATCACCAGAGGAAAAGGCACCGGGAAGACTCCCGCCTCCCTCTGCACAGGCATTCAGGAGGGGCTCCTGCGCCATCCCGGCTGGAGGGACACCCACGTCGGGGACCGTGCGCTCGGCAGCCTCTACCACAGGAGTGCCCTGCTCTCCAGACATAAGGGGTTCTGCCTCCTCTAATTTCATTCTTTTGGAAGCACGCCCATGTCCGCCTTCCTCCACGATGACACTGTCCAAGTGGGAAGATTCTGGAAAACCTCTCTTGCTTGTGAAATTCCCAGAGGAAGTTGCTCTCTGATCAGAAACGAGCCCACAGTCTTCCTTTGGGGATGGACTGTTTCTCAAGTCTTCTGCTTCTCTGTTTACATTTTCACCCTCATCGTTCTCAAGTTTATTCTCAGAATCCATTATTAACAAAGTGCTGAAGATGTTCCTTGTGTCGCAGGTGGCTCACTTGACACACATAATCTGTGAAGTAAATAAACACGGCATTAAGACTTTGACAAAGAAAAGACACACATACAAGTATGAATCTGAAATATATATTAGCCAAGAGAAATATCGTGCCATTAGCCAATAAAAAGTATGAAATCAGATTCTGGGAACACCCATTACTGGTTCAGAAAGCAATACTGTGGGGGCCAGCATTGCGGTGTAACAGGTTACGCCTCCACCTGTTTGAATCCCAGTCACTCCACTTCTTATCCAGCTCCTTGCTAACACCCTGCAGACACAGCAGAAGATGGCCCAAGGATCTGGGCCCCTGCCACCCACGCAGGGGACCCAGGTGGAGTTCGAGGCTCCTGGCTTCAGCCTAGCCTAGGCCTGGCCATTGTGGCCAACTGGGAAGTGAAACAGTGAATAGAAGATGTCTTTCTCTCTGTTTCCCCCTTTCTCTACTCTGCCATTCACATAAATAAATCTTAAAAGAATGTGTACTGTGCATCCTTGATACAAAATTATGACTCTCTCAACCAGTTTGCAAAAAATTTCAAGGTCCAATTCTCCAAGCCAGTATATTTGTATTTGGTACTTAAAACACACACACACACACACACACACAGAGAGAGAGAGAGAGAGAGAGAGAGAGAGAAACCCTTTTCAAATTATGCTTTGGTAAATTCCTGATCTGTAAAACAGAATAAAACAAAACTGCTGAGACAAGTCTGGAGGTTAGTCCTTCTACCTCTTTAGCCTCCCAATGGAAGGCTAAAGAAACAAAATTTTTCAAGAGTCACTTCTTCCTTTTTCCCTAAAGTCAAAAGCCTTACTAAGACTTTTCTAAATAGATCCCAATTAACAACACACATATTCTCACCAGTTTATCACCATTCACAATTAAACTCTTTTGCCAATGAAAAGCCATTGCTACTCCAGGTGTCAATCATTAATTTCCTTATCTATCACTCATTTTGTGTTGTCTGAAGGATAATAGCAAAGGGAAATTTCAGTTGAACAGCAGAATTAATGGAGCAACTTTTAAGGGAAAAAAAGCAATTTTATTAAATAAAATGCTTTAAAATCAATAATATTGATTTTATTTTTCATTATACTATTTAATTCAATTAAAACATATCATTTTCCATTTACTTTACACCATGATTGGAGTTTTCAGCCAAATGCCATTTGATTTGATGTTAATAAAAAGCCATAAATGCATTATGGTCTCAAAGCTAATGACAACTATTTTTAACTATTTTAATCATTTTTCCATAACAATGACAAATCAAATGAAGTCTACTGTTTTCACTCTGCTACACACGTGCACACACATAGACACACATAAGCATAATGTAACACAAAAAGCATGAGCAGCAGGAGAAAAAACAGAAAAGCAGGATTTCATAAAAGTTAAAAATTTCAAAGGATGCTATGCTTCAAAGGACACTACCAAGAATGGGAAAAATATTTTGGAAATCATATAACTGATAAGGCACTTGCATCCAGAATATAACCCAAGAACAAATACAACTCTTAAATTCAACAAAAACAAAAAAAAGATAATTGAATTTTAAAAAGAACAAAGAATTGATAAACATTTACCCACAAAAAATATACAAATAGCCAAAAATGAGCACATGAGAAAACAAACAATACATAATTAGTCATTAGAGGAATTCAAATTAAAACCAGAATAAGGGGCCCAGCACTGGGGCACAGTGGCCACCACTTCCAGTGTCATCATCCCATACTGAAATGTTGGTTCAAGTCCCAGTTGCTCCACTTCCAAACCACCTTCCTCCTAATGCACCCAGGAAGGCAGAGGAGGATGGCCCAAGTGCTTAGATCCCTGCCACCCATATGGGAGAGCAGGATGGCTTCAGATTGCCCAGATATGGCTGTTGTGGCCATTTAGAGAGTGAAGCAGTGGACAGAATATCTATCTCTCCCTTTCTCTGTTCCTCTAATAAATAAATGTTTAAAAGAATATAAGATGGCCGGCGCCACGGCTCACTAGGCTAATCCTCCACCTGTGGCGCCGGCACCCTGGGTTCTAGTCCTAGTCGGGGCACCGGATTCTGTCCCAGTTGCTCCTCTTCCAGTCCAGCTCTCTGCTGTGACCCAGCAGTGCAGTGGAGGATGGCCCAAGTGCTTGGGCGCTGCACCCGCATGGGAGACCAGGAGGAAGCACCTGGCTCCTGGCTTCAGATCGGCACAGTGCGCTGGCCATAGCAGCCATTTGGGGGGTGAACCAACGGAAGGAAGACCTTTCTCTCTGTCTCTCTGTCTCTCTCTAACTCTGCCTGTTAAAAAAAAAAAAAAGGAATATAGGATACCACGTCAAACCCAGTAGAATGGCTATAATCAAACAGATCATAACAAATGTTGGCAAGGATATGAAGAAATCAGAACCTTCACATGTTGCTAACGAGATGTAAAATGGTACAGCCACTTTGGAAAACAGTCTCAGTTCTTCAAAAGATTAACATGGAGCTACCACACAACCAGCAATGCCACTCCCAGGCATGTAAGTCCACATAAAAACCTGCCTGCACGTAAATGCTCACAGCAGCAAAGAACCATGTGTAGAGCAGTGGGAAAGACAGGTGTCCACAGTACTGATGCCCTTGCAAGATGCTTAACATCATTCAGACACACTCTTCAGAATGTGGTAAGCAGTTGGGGGAAAAAACACCCCTGGCTCAAGTAAGTCTGGAATACTGTGGTTTGAACAAAAGTCTTATTACCAAGGATTTCTCAGTTAAAAAACCATCTTCCAACCTTACCTCATTACAGAGCCCTGTGTATACAAAGAATCAAGAAACTGGTGCCGTTAAAGACACTTCACAAAGTGCTCTTTTAAACAAAGCGTTGGTTTTGCTATTCAGTATCTGCAATGGAAGAATAAAAGGAGAAAAGAAAGAACAAACTGTGCTCCATCCCCAAACACTCATGCACTGCCCACAATGCACCCCAGATTCTGGGTGAGGCTGCTGCACGCACAGCAAATACTACCACAAAATCCCTGTCCCTGAGAGCCTATCCTGTAATGGGCAAGACAACATACAGCTTGTTGGGTTTTTTGTTTGTTTGTTTTGTTTTTCTTTTGACAGAGTTAGACTGTGAGAGAGACAGAGAGAAAGGTCTTCCTTCCACTGGTTCACCCCCAAAATGGCCACTACGGTCGGAGCTACGCCAATCCGAAGTCAGGAGCCAAGTGCTTCCTCCTGGTCTCCCATGCAGGTGCAGGGCCTAAGCACTTGAGCCATCCTCCTCTGCCCTCTCGGGCACCAGCAGAGAGCTGGGCTGGAAGAGGAGCAACCGGGACTAGAACCCGGCGCCTATATGGGATGCCAGCGCCACAGGTGGAGGATTAACCAAGTGAGCTACGGCACTGGCCCCAACATACTGTTAAAAACAGACACCCGCTCCAACCCAGAACAGTTCCTTCTTTCTGGCAGAAATGGAACAGCTGAAACAGACAAAATCTATAAAGCAACAGACATCAGACACCGAAGGACGGCAATCCCTGAGAGACAACATACAAATCAAGCAAGCCCCCTGGTTTCTGTCTGGAGAAAGTACCCAGGCCATGGAGTTGAGGGACAGAGTGAAAGAGAGAAGTCCAGAGAAAGAGAAGCCAAGAGGTGTGCAGAGGAGGCCTCCCAGGTCTTCCTGACCAACATACAGAGCCACTGCCGCCTGCCTGTGGTCCAAAGGCATCTCACAGCCCTTCCCAGTCAGTCTCCAAACACAGCCTCTCACCTCAAGTGGCCGAAGTTCAGAATTCTCCGAAAACAAATTAGTTTTGCCTGTTTTAGTAGTTCCTAAAAGGGACAGGCGCTGTGATATGGCAGGTAAAGCCACCGCCTGCAGGGCCAGCATTCCATATGGGTACCACTTTGAGACCCAGCTGCTGCACTTCCAATTCAGCCCTGTGCTAATGGCCTGGGAAAGCAGTAGATGACCCAAGTACTTGGGCCCCTGCACCCACATGGGAGACCCAGAAGAAGCTCCTGGCTTTGGACTAGCCCAGCTCCGGCCATTGCGGCCATTTGGGGAGTGAACCAGCAGATGGAAGATCTCTGCCTCTGCCTCTCTGTAACTTGCCTTTCAAATAAATAAATCTTTAAAAAAAAAAAAATTCCAGGGGCCGGCGCCGTGACGCAGTAGGTTAATCCTCCGCCTGCACTGCTGGCATCCCATGTGGCCACCGGTTCTAGTCCCAGTTGCTCCTCTTCCAATCCAGCTCTCTGCTATGGCCTGGTAAAGTAGTTGAAGATGGCCCACATCCCTGGGCCCTGCACCCACACGGGAGACTGGGAAGAAGCACCTGGCTCCTGGCTTCGGATCAGCACAGCTCCGGCCAGTATGGCCTTTTGGGGAGTGAACCAATGGACGGAAGACCTTTCTCTCTGTCTCTCCCTCTCAATGTCTGTAACTCTACCTCTCAAATAAAAAAATAAAAATTTTTAAAAAAATTTTAAAAAATTCCTAGAAGCAGAAGCTCATAAGATGCTCCTGGGGCGAGGAGTCTGCCGCCGCTGAGTGTCAGCAGCATGGTCACTTCACCACCGCACCATTCAGCTACACCAGCCCTGCTGACAGCTGCTTCCTCGTGCTGCTACTGCTGTAAGGCTGCCGTGAATATTCTCCCATGGCTCTTCACAAACACCTATTTTCACTTCTTTTGTTTAAATGCCCAGGACATGAGGCTGCTTGGCGGACTTTCCAAGCAGCTATACTGTGGCATCACCATCAGCAGTATATAAGAATTCCGGTTGATCCACATTCTCCCTGACATCCAATGTCAATCATTCTAGTGGGCGTGCGTGGTTTTACTCTGCATTTTCCTGATGATGAGAGATGGTGTAGTTTTTTTTATGTGCTTTGTTAGCTTTTTGCCTACTTCTTAATTTGGTTATTTATTTTTATTATTGAGCTGCAGGAGTTGCTTATGTATTCGGGGTATAAATCTTTTGTCAGATACATGTTTTACAAATAGTTTCTTCCTTTTCATTTTATTAATGGCATCTTTGATACACAGAAGTTTTAAATTTTGATGCAATCAATGTTTTTCCTGTTGTGGTTATTTATGTGTCTCGTTTATTTTTCTGTCTCTCCAAGCTACAATGTAAGGGCACGGTTTATTTCATTCACCAATGTATCCCAAGAGCCTAGAACAATTCTAAGCAGTTAGGGGTACTAAAATGAACAAATGCCTCATTGTGATACAAGAAATAGCTAATACTTACGTATTTACAGCTAAAATGAATAATGTCTGATAAATGCTTCAAAACAGTCCCAGACAGGCGTCAGTGAAGTTGCAATGATTAAAGCTGAATGACAGGTGCAGAGGGATTCGTTACACTTGTCCATCAACTTCTGCACAGTTCTGAGAGCATCTGTAATAAACGTCCTGTCTACAGGGGGATGAGCCCCTTCTTTTGGATACCACACTGACAACTACTTACTCCGCAAACACTGGCACGGTACACGGTGCCGTCTTCTCCACGGGCACCAGCAGGAGCTTCGTCTCAGAGGTATGCAGATGGAACACATACACTCTAAGGTCCACACACTTCTGTTCACAGTGAGTATTCACAATGGCACCTGACTCATGTGTCTGCAGATCAAAGAATCACATCTACCTTCTTGTGAAGAACCAAAATAAGGAAACCCTTTATTTTTCTTCTATATAACGGTTCAAAAAAATCTGCAACAAAGAAAAAAAGTTTCTACACTTGTCACTTCCCAGTTTATTTTTTAATGAGATAATCCAACATCTCATTATCTCAAGAAATAGTGAGCATTCCACGAGGACATGCTGTACAGGGTTTGGGCACTCCATCAACACAGTGAGCACAGAGGCCAAGGGCCACAGCACTCGGGCCTTCCACTCTGCAGCAGCTTAAGAAACTGGCAGCCGACCAACCAGGCCCAGATCACAGAAGACTCTGCATCAAGAACACGATTTTTTCAGTAGTGTCAGTGGAGAGTCACGGAGACACCTCCTGCTGTAGGAATTAATTTCTCAGGCTGCAAGGCAGAGGAAGTCTAGAGGCAGGAAGAACTGAACGCGTTCTTTAAGCTACGGGGTGCAGGACGCGCACTAGGCCCTGAGCAGGAGCACAGTGCGGCTTAGCAAGTTCTTCACAGTAATCTGCAAAAGGGCGAGTGGAAGTGATGCAAAATCTGTAAAAATTCACTAGATAAGGTTTAGAACAAGTCACATATGACCAGGGGAGATGGAGGAATGGTCTTCTTCGCAGAAGAATTAAAACATCACCCGACTTGGACAGTGGGAAGGAAAAATGTATTCATTCACTCAACATTTTGTGAAATCTTACTATGTACAAAATGCACATTTCATTCTCTCAGGAACAAAACATAAAAAAAACAGGCAGGGATACAAGGCCAACTCTCAGAGTAAGGCACAATCCCCTCTTTCCAGAAGTGTGGGCACTTGTCATCTGAGATTCCTTCCCACAGTAAGGTTTCCAGGTTGAGACGGTCTAGTAAGTTCATGTGATTAAACCCAATCCTCTTTAAAGCTTTCTATTTCCCACACAAGTTCATAAATTACCATTCAACAGAGACCCTCCCTGAGCCAAAGATTTCCAAATATCCAGTTCCATGTAGAAGCCATGCTCCTATCCAAATCCTCAAGTAGCTGTTTTCTGACCAAAGAATAAGTTAAAGGGCCAGCACTGTGCCAGCATCCCCCATGGGCCCTGGTTTGAGTCCCAGCTGTTCCATTTCTGATCCTGCTCCCTGCTAATGTGCCTGGGAAGTGCTTGCTAATGTGCAGTGGAAGATGGCCCAAGCACCCACATAGGAGACCAGGAAGAAGATCCTGGCTCCTGGCTTCAGATTAGCCCAGCTCCAGCCACTGCAGCCATTCAGGGAGTGAACCGGCAGATGGATGATCTCTTTTTAATCTCTCTCTCTCTCTCTCTCTCTCCCCCCCCCCTCTCTCTATCACTCTGCCTTCCAAATAAATAAATAAATCTGTAAAAAAAAAAAAAAAAAAAGAAAGAAAGAAAGAAAGAAAGGAAGGAAGAAAAAGAAAAAAGAAGTTACAGGTAATTTTACTGATTTTCATTTTTACCTACAAATGATTAACTCACCTAGAAACTGTCAAAAATAAAGTTTCCCACTGTAACAGAAACAGTTACTTGCTGTGGTTTAAAAGGAAAACAAAGTATTTCAAGAAAGAAATCAAAACACATACTTTCTGAGAATAAAACAAATTAATAGCAGCCTTCTGATGACACCTGGTGGCCACTTCTCACAGGAACTTTCTTCTGCGTTTTAAAGAAACCATTTCAAGTACTGGAAAGACGTCAGCGTTCCACCGTTGCCCACGCCAGCTGCATGCAAGCAGCACGCGTGAACCTTCCCTTCCTTCTCATCCTTTCTAACTCTCTTCTCACTCGGCACAGTCTCTGCTCACTCGCTCGCTCTGCCTTTTCTCCTAAGCATATGTGAAGTGAACTGCAGCTCCCCCTCTTTAGTGACTGACACCCACACCTACTCTCCCTGGTATAATAAGGCCATATTAACCCATTTTCTCCCTGCCTCCCACCCCCCATCTTCCCCTCAGCCTCCTAGACTTACCCAAGTAAGTGGTGTACACAGTGTGACGTTAGCACATGCTGTCAGACCCATAGTAACATCACACGAGGGTATGCATGTGCACGAGGGCACCCGTTCACAAACATACACACATAAAAATGACTAATGGTCTTTTACTCTTTCTCTTTGGGAAATTCAAAAAAGATGAACCCTACAAGTTATGATGCTGCAATGGCAATCCTCTATTCATGGAGGAATGAGATGAAACTGGCAGGCCTGCCTCAAGCCCTCTGTGAACCACAATGGCAACAGAAACCCAGGGCAGGAACAAATGGAAACTGGTGGACTACTCATATCCCTCTCTTAATCTACCACTTTCAATTGGACTTTCTATTCAAAGTATATGACTTTTACCATTATACAAGCACCTAATTTATGAGGCCGCCGCCTCCAGTGCAGGCATCCCATATGGGTGCCGATTTGAGTCCCGGCTGCTCCACTTCCAATCCAGATCTCTGCTGTGGCCTGGGAAAGCAGAAGATGGTTCAAGTGCACGGGCCCCTGCACCTACATGGGAGACCTGGAAGAAGCTCCGGGCTCCTGGCTTCAGATCTGCTCAGCTCCAGTCATTTCAGCCATCTGGGGAGTGATTCTGTTCCAGTTGTCCTCTTCCAGTCCAGCTCTCTGCTGTGGCCCAGGAGGGCAGCAGAGGATGGCCCAAGTACTTGGGCCCTGCACCTGCATGGGAGACCAGGAAGAAGCACCTGGCTCCTGGCTTCAGATCGACACAGCACACTGGCCGGAGCGGCCATTTGGGAGGGTAAACCAACAGAAGGAAGACTTTTCTCTCTGTCTTTCTCTCTCTGTCTAACCCCACCTGTCAAGTAAAAAAATTTTTAAAAATTAATTTTATGACAGCATTAAATAAACCATCTCTGACAAATACATCTTTTGTAGTCAGATTTTACACAAATAAGTTAAAATTGTATATCTCCTTTGAAAAACTATTTTGAAAATTCAATGCTTTGTTAGCATTTCCATCTAACTCTTGTTTTGTTTTGTTTTTTAACGAAAGAATATTCTTACTAGAACAGAAGAAAAAGAACAAAAGGAAGGAATGATAGTCCTATGAGTAAGATAAAAAATTTAAAACTTCAATGTCATTAAAAGCAGACACCTACAATCATTTGTATCTTATGCCACTTGGAAAAGGTTGTTTTATTATCAATGTAACTAATCACAATGAAACCATCTCTTACAACTAAAGACATGAGAATGAATTTTCTTTACAGCTACAGAGAAATGGGGTTTGCTGTTTCACATCAAATAGAACAGGCTGTATAAATTCTTCTTCCTATTTATTGTAAAATATAATTTCATCTATAAAATCAGTCATGAAATATTAAAACTGAAACAACAGAATTTATATCCTTTACTTAATTTAGTTTAAACGGTCTATTCACTAAAAACAGGGGGAAGGTTACATATGATAGAGCCCCTCCTCGCTCATTAAGTGTTTCCATTAGACCCTTTATTTTCAAGAATTTATGATGCAGCCATGAAAAAGGCATTCCACGATCAAAGTTAGTACGTGTTCCCTAAATTTTCCTTTCATCTTCTTCCAAAGCCAAGAGAATGAAGCATATAACATGAACGCTGAGGAAAGCACAGAGAATTAAAAGAATAAAATTAAAGAAACCTAATATATTTACACTAAAATTTTACACATTGTGAAAAAAAGCATAAAGCTACAGAGAGCCTTTGCTTTCATCCCCATTCTGCCAATAGTAAGCTGTAGGACATGGGGCAACTTGGAACTTTTCGGAGCTTCTATTGTCATTGTGCATGAAGCAAGAAGAAAAGACTATGGTTCATAAATGCAATGAGAAAACCCCTCATGAATATCAAGGAGTTACTGCTGAACACTGAAAAAGTGAAAAACTGTCTTCTTATTAATGGACTTGTTTTTCTGTCCAGCAGGGAAAAATTGGAAGAAAATGGGTATTTCCAAAATGTAAATATGAGAAAAATATAACTTTAAAAAGAAGAATAAAAAGCTAGACATGTTCCATAGTTCTTGCTTAGATTCATCAGGTCTACTGAGAAGAGATGGAATACAAAGGCTAATCAAAGGACGTCAGGGAAAAAAAGACTGAAACTACTAATTTTAGAAGAAATCTGAAAACACTGTAATTCCAAATGTCAATAAGCTAACACATGATATAAAACTACTAAGTCTCAAGACATTTGGGATAGGAATTATTAGCTTCCAAAGATCTGAGTGCTGAGAGTATATTTAAAAAGGAGGAAAACTTCAGTGTTAAAATTTTAAAATATAGTTCTACCCAGGTCCATTTATATAACAAGGTTAACAGTTCTTTATTTCTTTTTTTCCCCTCTAGGTGGGGAAACTACAGGTAATCTTACTTCCCTCTTCCTGGCACTTTTCTATACTTTCAAAATACACTGCTTTGGGAGGGGACAGTGAATGGGAAGCTTTAAAAAATTTTCTACACAACATCGAAATAATGGAAACTGATAACTCTCAAGAAAAAAAAGAGAAAGCTTTTAGATAGAAATATACTTATGACTGTGTTTATTGAGCTAAACACCAAGCTGAAACCACACACAGCCACAGGGTGACTAAATGTCTGGGGCCTTAATTCTAGTCAGACACCCAGGAACACCAAGCACCTTACCAGTGGCTCACTGAACCTCGCCTGGAAAACTCAGGAATGAGAGGATGCAGAGACAAAGAGCAGCACCACCAAGCTTCCTCTGGATCTCCGTCTTCCATGCCACTCTCCACTAAAAGGAAACGGGGCTCAAGAAACTGTTCATCGTGACTGGAGCAAGGTAATAAAAGATGAGTAGGGAACGCTTTTAAAAAAAAAAAAAAAAGATGTCACAATGACACAGGAGCCAGCTTGAAGGGGCTCTCAACAGTCAACTCTGGTACAATCTGAATGTCAAAATACTCAGTACCGTTAAACTGTTAAAAGTCAGAGTGAATACACCCATTTCAATGACTTGAATGATGAACAGATGGATGGATGGAGAGAGGGAGGGAGAAGGGTAGGCAAAATATATATTTATAGTAGAATGATGAGAGCCAACTGATAAATATGTTGGGAGTACCGAGGACAGGAAATCATCAGCAAAAAGTGTACTAAGCAGGAATCATCAACAGACGCTGTCTCAGGGGGTAATTATGATATGGGGCAGAATGCCGGCAAGATGTTCAAGTGCCACCCCTCAAGGAACTTACTGGTTTCAAGGGAAGAAAAACAACGTGCTAACTATGCTAGAATTACAAATACCTTGCATGGCTGTCAAAACTCAACATCCCCAACGAAGGGCAGACAGCTACAGTATGCCCCTAAGATGTGACAACCTGAGGACAATGTGTCATCTATGCATCACTGCAGATGAGATGGCAAAACCACCAGTTCATCAAGGGCTACCAGCAGACAAACATAACAGCAGTATCGTTTTATTTAAAGGAGAAAAAAGTGGTGGGGAGAAATGCATTCTTCAAATATGTCAACCTCATCCAAAAAAAAAAAAAAAAAGGCTACAAAATATCCCACACGAATGAAGCTACAAGAGGTATGACACTTAAATGTAATACCTGTCCTGGCCTGGATCCTGTGCAGTCAGGGGAACATTATATTAAGGTTATTTCAGACGAACTGGCAAAAGTACTAATGTAAATTTATAAAACTAGTAATGGTACTACGGTTATAAAAGAAAATGTCCCTATTCTTATAAGATACAAAGTGTTCATGAATAAAGGGTCATAATGTATTTAATTTATTCTCAAAAGCTTCAAAAACAAAAGGAAAGCTGGTGTGTGTGTGTGCAAGTGTACATGTGAGGAAACCATATGTGAGAGAGTAAGAAGAAATGTCAAAGCAAACAGGACGTAACACTAGTTGAGCCAGGACAAAGATCAGACAGGTGTTCTAAAAAGCTTTTCTAGTTTTATTTTCACATTTTTCAATAAATGTAAAATCACTGGCTTACAAAGACTTCTGCCATGTCTTTAGCAACTGTCGGAAGGTCAAGAAAATATACAGTTCACTAAAAATGACAAAGGTTTTATTAAACCTGACATGATCCTTACTCCACATAATAGTTATTAGTCCCAAGAAGACTTCCAGGAATCTAGAAAGCTTTACCTTCAACTGAGGGCCCTGTTTCTTCTCCTGACTGCCTTTACCCATAGCTTGTATTTTTTTAATTAATTAATACCCTATACCTGCAGGCAGGATAAGTAAAAGCAGGTAAGAGTAGTAAAGAAAAAGGTGGTGGGATTTCAGATTAATGATATCCTTCCTATTGCAGCTGTGTCTCAAAATAACTTGGCAGGGGCAAGGGGGCTCATGCATCATGCTGGATATTTGACCTGGCAGTTAGATGTCCATATTCTGTGTGAGAGTACGTAGGTTCAAGTCCCAGCCTTGGCTCCTGATTATGGCTTCCCACTAAAGCAGACCCTGAGAAGCAGCAGTGATGGCTCAAGAAACTGGGCTCCTCCTACCCACTTTGGAGAACTGGACTGCATTCCCAGCTCCTGCCTCTGGTCCAGGCCATTGCAGTCACTTGGGGAATGGACCAGCAGATGAGAGCTCTATGTCCCTTTAATTAAAATAATTAATTAAAAATAAAGTTTAATTTTTAAAAAAATCAATAAAATAACTGTTGCAAACTTCCTACCAACTCCTGTCCACTGTGCTTCACACACCAGCCCTACACAGAGCCCTGGAAAACAAAGATGTAAAAAGAATGTCGTACTTGAAGGCACAGTAGAATTTTTCCTGTTAACTGGCAAGACTGGTTAAGGGGGCCAGTGCCGCGGCTCAATAGGCTAATCCTCCACCTAGCGGCACCGGCACACCAGGTTCTAGTCCCAGTTGGGGCCGGATTCTGTCCCGGTTGCCCCTCTTCCAGGCCAGCTCTCTGCTGTGGCCCTGGAAGGCAGTGGAGGATGGCCCAGGTGCTTGGGCCCTGCACCCCATTGGGAGACCAGGAGAAGCACCTGGCTCCTGCCTTCAGATCAGCGCGGTGAGCTGGCCGCAGCGCGCCAGCTGTGGTGGCCATTGGAGGGTGAACCAACGGCAAAAGGAAGACCTCTCTTTCTGTCTCTCTCTCACTGTCCACTCTGCCTGTCCAAAAAAAAAAAAAAAAGACTGGTTAAGGGGCCACCTACAAAAGATAAAACTTCCTCCTGTCCCAAGTCAAAGGATGCAAGATGGCACAGCAAGACTCACTGGAATGGCTCCATCATGACTCTCCTCTATGTCTCACCTTCCATACTCCAGGCACTTGAACTCTGTTAAAGGCTTTCAACATTTAGACAAATTCTGCACTACAAATAGCAGTAACAAACACCTTTCCTAAACTCAGAAAGATCTCTTGGGGAGATTTTGGTGGACAAGGTTCTAAGTGCACCACTGGCCAAACCTGAGTATCCTAAAGGTATCTGGGCCATGCAGCGGGGGCCTCCCAAAGCAGGCACCCAGATTGGCTGAAAACTTCTGTTATGCCATCTGGTCATTGGGACATGCTGAGGGCCCAGGTAGCTTCTGGCTCATAGCTGGGAAAAAGGCTGAAGGCAACAATGGACGCTGGGAACCCAGTGATTCTCCCAGAGGGGCTGTCTGTTTCTCTGCCTTTCAAATAAATGTGTTGGTTTTTTTAATTATTATTTCAGATGTATAAAATGCAGCAAAACAGGGAGGTAATAAGCAATAGGCTAAAGTTTGAAAAACCATATTACACCACATTTTTAAACTATATACATTCAAAGCAGTCAAGAAAAATAAAGAATTCTCAGCTCTAAATTCATTAATAAACAAGAGTATTCTGTAATTCAGTACATCCCTCATTGTTGGCCACCGTTCATGGCTGGCATCACATTTTTCCATCTACTTATTTTTTTAAAAAAAGACTTATTTAGGGGCTGGCACCATGGCTCACTTGGTTAATCCTCTGCCTGCAGTGCCAGCATCCCATATAGGCGCAGGTTCTAGTCCCGGTTGCTCCTCTTCCAGTTCAGCTCTCTGCTGTGGCCCGGGAGGGCAGTGGAGGATGGCCCAAGTGCTTGGGCCCCTGCACCCCCATGGGAGACCAGGAGGAAGCACCTGGCTCCTGGCTTCGGATCGGCGCAGTTCCGGCCGTAGCGGCCATTTGGGGGGGTGAACCAACGGAAGGAAGGAAGACCTTTCTCTCTGTCTCTCTCACTGTCTATAAGTCTACCTGTCAAATAAAAGAAAAAAAAAGATTTATTTATTTGAAAGGCAGAATTAAGGGGGGAGGGAGGCAAAAAGATTTTCCATCCACTGGCTCACTCCCCAAATGGCTACAACAGCCAGAGTTGGGCCAGTACGAAGCCAGGAGCTTCTTATAGGTCTCCCATGTGGTATAGGGACCACTTGGGCCATCTTCCACTCTTTTCCCAGGCACATAAGCAGGGAGCTGCATAGGAAGTAGAGCAGCCAAGACTCAAACCAGTGCCCATATGGGATGCCGACACCCCAGGCAGTGGCTTCGCCTGCTACGCCACAGCACTGGTCCCTCCATTCACTTATTTTCACACGAGAATACCCCTATATTAGTCTAATAAAATGTTCTAACTCAATAATATTACTCTCCTATACTCTGAAAAGTAAATAAAAGAAATTTTATATGTGGAGAACAAAAACTGTAGAATACTAATTTTCTGCAGGCCTGCCATTTCTTTTGGATCTGGATACAGTGGCTAGAATCAATCTAATAGCCTTCTTATCACAGCTGCTATAAAGGAATGACTTCAAAATGGCCTAAATGCGAAAGAAATTTCTGTTTTACTCTTACAAACTTCAAGGCAGGAGTTCCCAGTCAGCAAGTACTCAGAGACCCTGGCTCCTTCCATCTGGAAGCTCTGCCTTTGACCTGCCTCATCCCTGCCTCCAGCAAACAGAAGAAGTGGCTGACTCTTTCCTTTTTTTTTTTTTTTCCTTAAAGATATATCTATTTTAATTGAAAGTCAGAGTTACACAGAGAGAAGGAGAGGCAGAGAGAAAGAGAGGTCTTTCATCCGCTGGTTCACTCTTCAATTGGCCACAACGGCTAGAGCTGCGCCAATGCAAAGCCAGGAGCCAGGAGCTCCTTCCGGGTCTCCCACGTGGGTGCAGGGGCCCAAGGACTTGGGCCATCCTCCACTGCTTTCCCAGGCCATAGCAGAGAGCTGGATCGGAAGTGGAGCATCAGAGACTCGAACCAGCACCCAAACGGGATGCTGGTACTGCAGGCCGCGGCTTTACCTGCTATGCCACAGCGTCAGCCACTGCTTCCTTCCTTCTTAAAAGCCTTGACTCAAAAGAGGCAACTATCACTTCCACTTACATAGGCTGAGCTGCAAGGGAAGCTGAAAAAACGTACCCTTGAGTTGGGCGACCACATCTAATGGAAGAGAACAGCTTATTCCAGGGTCGGCGCCTGCAGCGCCAACATCACATATGCCTTTCCTCTTCCAATCCAGCTCTTTGCTAATGGCCTGGGAAAGCAGCGGAATATGGCCCAAGTGCTTGGGCCTCTGCACCCAAGTGGGAGACCTGGAAGAAGCTAATGGCTCCTGGCTTTAGATCAGCCCAACTGCAGCTACTGCAGTTATCTGGTGAGTGAACCAGCGAGTGGAAGAGCTCTCTGTCTCTCCCTCTCTCTGTAACTCTGCCTCTCAAATAAGTAAGTAACTCTTGACAGAAGGGAAGGAAGGAAGGACAGAAGAGAGGGAGGGAGGGAACAACTGATTCTGGTAGAAAGCTAGCCACCACAGCCACACACCAGTCCAAAAATTATCAGACTGCTTGTTATTCTGACATTAATGAAGGCTTTTAGCATCTGCAAAATCTCACAAAAACCTTTTCTCTGAAATGCAACAAGAGCACACCTACAGCCATTACTTCTGTATTTGTAAAACAAAGGAATTATGGATTTTAAATTATGGGAGGCCATTCATTGTTTTGAACAGAGCTCCTGAACTCCAGACCAAAAGGCAGTCACATGCTACCTAATCAAACTGAAACTTTAAGAAAACTGCCCAGTTTTTCCTGGAAACAGGAGATTCAAGTATACCTGAGTTAGCATAATAAGGAAGTCCCCTATGCCTCAGCCCTTACCAAAAAGGAACCTGCAATTACCAGATGTTAGCCAGTTTCTTCCTAATGTCCCTCTTACAAAACCAAACCCCCCTTCTGCTATTACCCACTGGGAGCTCTCATTCTTTTTTCAGAATGAAAGTTGTCTCCATTCATGAATCCAAATAAAGACAATTTGTTTATAATTAATTTGTTGTAATCTTGTCTGCTGACATTGATTATACCAATTACTTACAAATTTAGCTAATCATCAAAAACAGGAATGCCTAGGTCTTACCCATGGAAAGATTCTTATTAAGATAGTCTGGGGCAAAGACAAAAATCTATACATTTACAGTTCCCTAGGTGATTGAGGTGTCAGATTTGGAGACCACCGGACTGAAGTCCCTCTCAACTATTCAATGTACACATACAGTGTCTTCCCCAGACACACAGCTGTAAGCGTGGGGGGAGAGGACTGGCCGTGGGGGGCGGGGTGGGGAGGGGGAGAAGAGTGAATCAGAAAACAAAGGCACTGTCCTATATAGGCTACCACACAGGAATTCCAAGACGTGCCTACATCATCATTAGCCAAGATTACTCTGAATGCCACTTCAGTAAACTCTGCCTGGCCTGCCATCTTGAAATCCTACTGCTGCTCATCAGGGAAACCAGATTCTGAACCCTGAAGATTGCTAATGAAAGCCACCTGATCTCATTTTTTGGAAAGCTATAATTTCTACTCCGCTTCCTTCAATGATATAAATTTTCTACGCTATTTTTAAAAGTACATTACCACCTTAGTTTAAATTCTAATGGCTTTATAATTATATCTTAAATTAACATGCACTCCTACAACTGCTATTCTTCATTTTATAACTGATCCAATAACTATATACCAAATTCTGATCCATAATCCACAATTAACAGAAATTACAAGTGAATTGTACACTTCCAAAGAAGTAGGTTATTGCTTGGTCTAGGTTTAAAATGTGGTTTCTGTTATATTTAATAACTGAAAAGTATGCTGGACTTTGGTTACATTTGATAATTAGACAACATGTTTTCCCTTTTAGGATTCTTATTACCTTATTTTTTTTTTATTTGAAACTTTTTTTTCATAGAAGAAGAAAGCACATGTAAGAAAAAAATGAGCGAAGTGCAAACAGCAAATACATGGAAAAGCACTGAGAATTAAGACTGAGATGATCTAGCTTTAGTGAAATGTAGTTGAAACTAGAACTGAAGAATTTGTAATCTACTTTTAAAAATCCTATGTTCTACATGTGACTGTAAGGGATCTCCTACAATCTCTACACAGATCTGAAATGCAGACAGCCCATACTGAAGGGCTTCCACTTAGTGAGGGGCTCACTGCACTAGAAAACACGACCATCACACAATAACAAGTCCTTGACAGTTCCCCGTGTTCAGAAAATTTTAGCACTCTGAGTATCCAACAAAAATGGTAGCGCTATTTGGATTCAAAGGACACATAATTTAACCAGCAGCTTCTAGAACCATTTTTAATTTTCCCATACTTGGTAATTTCAAGAGGTGCCTATAACGCCATAATGGCTGAAGTTACAACATAAGCAATGTTTATCTAAGAAAAAGTCCCCATTATATGAGATAAATTATGGCAAGAGAAAACAAATTGTTGGTGCCAGTGCTGTGGCGCAACGGGTTAATGCCCTGGCCTGAAGCGCTGGCATCCCATATGGGCGCCGATTCTAGTCCCAGCTGCTCCACTTCCAATCCAGTTTTCTGCTGTGGCCTGGGTAAGCAGTGGAGGATGGCCCGTATCCTTGGGCCCCTTCACCCGCATGGGAGACCCAGAGGAAGCTCCTGGCTCCTGGCTTTGCATTGGCGCAGCTCCAGCCGTTGCGGCCATCTGAGGAGCGGACCAGCAGATAGACGACCTCTCTCTGTGTCTCTACCTCTCTCTGTAACTCTGTCTTTCAAATAAATAAAAAATAAATCTTAAAAAAAAAATTTGTCAGCCGGCGCCACAGCTCAATAGGCTAATACTTCGCCTGCGGCGCCAGCACACAGGGTTCTAGTCCCAGTCGGGGCACCAGATGCTGTCCCGGTTGCCCCTCTTCCAGGCCAGCTCTCTGCTGTGGCCCGGGAGTGCAGTAGAGGATGGCCCAAGTGCTTGGGCCCTGCACCCCAAGGGAGACTAGGAGAAGCACCTGGCTCCTGGCTTCCCATCAGCGCGGTGCGCCAGCCATAGCACGCTGGCCACAGCGGCCATTGGGGGGTGAACCAACGGAAAAGAAGACCTTTCTCTCTGTCCCTTTCTCTCTGTCCCTCTCTTTCTGTCCACTCTGCCTGTCAAAAAAAAAAAAATTGTCAAAGGTTAGGAAAAAAATGGACAAGTACTGATTTCCAAAAAAGACAAAGTGCCTAAGCAAATAAGTATGATTTCCCAAATCCTATGACACAATGCTACCTCTTCTTTTTTCAAAATCTGAATACTATAATTTACGTTTTTTATTTTTACTTGACACATTAACTGTGTATACTTATGGGGTATGATGAGACACTACAATACACATATGCAACATGTATCAAACACTTATCATTTCTGTTGGGAACATTCAAAATTTTATTAATCACTTTGAAGTACAGAACTAACTGTTGTCAACCATGGTTACCTGACTGTGCTATATAACACCAGGAGTTATTCCTCCTATCCAACAGCACCTTAACCTGTTAACCAACCCTCTCTCCATCCCTCCCTCTCTCACATCCTTTCTAGGATTTGGTTATCACTCTTCTATGCTCTACTTCTAGGATAGTAACTTTTTAGACTCTACACGTGAGAACAAGATACTACCACTTTCTCAGGAACGGAAATACGCATTCTTCAGATATCACTTAGACTCAATATTCAAGAACTAAAATCAAAAGGTAATTAACTACTCTTTCTGCCTTGAGGATCTGTCATCTGCTAGAATGACAAAAGGACTGTGTTGGCTTAAAAGCAAACCTAGTGCGGCAGGTGTTATGCTGCAGCAGGTTAGTCTGCTGCTTGGGATTCCAGCATCCAAACTGAACTGTCTGGCTGAACCCCACTTATGCTTGCAATCCAGCTCCCTAATAAGCAAACAGGGGCAGCAGATGATGGCCCAAGTAGTTGGGTCTCTGCCACCACACAGGAGACCTTGTGGAGTTCCTGCCCCTGGTTCCTGGCTCCTGGCTCCTGGCTCCCAGCCCTAACTGTTGCAGGCATGTGGGGAGTGAACCAGAGAAAGCAAGACATTCCTTATTCTCACATCCATTCATATTCCCTTTGCGTCTCTCCCTCCACCCCTTCCCTATAACTTTGCTTTTCAAATTAATTATTATTTAAAAAAAAAAGACCCACTAAGAAAAAGCACAACCTGGAAAAAGGAAGCAAATATACATTATACCAGTCTTTGCTACACTGCCATTCCTGTCTTGGCTTTTTGTTTTTCGTCCCTCCAGCTCTCTCAGAATTTTGCCTATGCTTGTCTCCTTGCTGCAGCCCTGTGAGTCAGACTGTGTCTGCACCTTGTATCCAGGTGCCACTTCCTTCACAGAGACAGTGACAACGCCCACCCTCCCAGGGTCACTGTGGGGGGCAAGCTTTGTTTACTTACAGGTGCATAAACCCAGCATGTAATGTGCTCTGGCCAGTGTCTGGCACAGAGTAAGTGCTCAGTGTTAGCTATCCTTACCATCTAATCCCAGTACCTCTGGTTGGCTCTATTCCTGACAGCATCTAGAAGACGGCCAGTTGAAGAGTAACTTCAGTCACCCTCCTCCAAAAACATACTTCATCTCTAGCGTATCTTGTTCATACAAATTAAACAATCCCTGGGTAGAATGAATTGCAAACTTAAAAAACAAATGTTACAAAAATATTTCATAGATACAAAAAACATTTAATATGTGCAAAGTGTTAGGCATAATGTAACAAAATCCTCAGCACAGATCAGTTAAAGAAAAACAATTACCTTCGGGGCTGTGTCTGCCTTCCCCATTGCCTTTCCCCTTCTTGGAGAGCTATCCATAACTTAAATCTGTGCTTGTCATCCACCTGCTCTCCTTTATATCTCACCATAGTGGCATGTCTAACTACTGCCTTTTGAACAGAATATGGCTCCCAAAGGCATGCAGCTATTCAAATCCCAAAGTCAAAAGTTAATGGTTATTAAGAGAGGAAACTTAATCCAACTATGTGGCTTAGGAGGTGGGCCAGGAAGAAGAGAGGTCATGCCCCCAGAAGCTGGTTCCCTAGACAAAGTTGGTTATAAAAGCAGAGCGGAGCCTAGATTTTCTGCTGCTCTCTGGGTCACCGGGCACCCTTCCTCTGCCATCAACATCCACCACCCTCCCCAGACACCAAGCCAATGGGGCTGCCCAATCTCAGACTTGGACCTCCAAAACCGTGAGCTAAATGAATGTTTTCTCTTTATAAAGTTGGCTGCTTCAGGTTGAAAGGAAGTTGAGCATTTTTGCAAGTTTCCTCTTCTGTCAGATGTCCATTGGGATCATCTGTCCTCTTTCTTATTCTTCCTAATTTGTGATTGGTTTCCCCTCTAAATACTAATCTTTTATTGTTGTATATACCAAACAGCACCCACCTACTCTTTGTGACTTATCTGTTCACATTCTTGATGGTTTTTCTAAATAAACACAGTCATCCATATCAATGTCAAATACGCTGATCTTTTCCTTTAAGGTCTGCACTTTCTGTGATCTGTTTAAGCACCTCTTGCCCATACCAGTCCTATGGCTATCATCCTATATTGACTTTTAAAAGTTTCATAGTTTACCTTCTGTGCTTAAGACTTTCACTAACCTGTAGTGAATTACAAGGGTAACCCACTGGGCCAGCACTGTGGCATAGGTTAGGCCACCACCTGCAGTGTCAGCATCCCAAGTACCAGCTCCGTTAATCCCATCCAGCTCGCTGCTAATGTGCCTGGGAAAGCATCAGAAGATGGCCCCAGTGCTCAGGCCCCTTCACCCACGTGGGAGACCTGGAAGAAGCTCCACCCGGGCTGTTGCAGCCATCCATTTGGGGGTGGGGTGTGAACCAGCAGAGGTAAGACCAATCTCTCTCTCTCTCTCTCTCTCTGTCTCTCTCTCTCTCTCTCTCTCTCTCACACACACACACACACACACACACACACACCTCCTCTTTCTCTGCCTTTCAAATTAAAAAGGAAAAGGAAAAAAAAATTATAGCCTTTGGCTGAATAGTACAAAATAAAAAATTTTAAAAAAGGGTAACTGACTCCCAGGGAGTTCTGCTTAGTAAAGACCACATACATAACCAACTACAACCTTAGAGAGGATACAAAAAGTACCCCAAGGTACCCAATACAGGAGCACGCATTTGAGTCCTGGCTGATCCGCATGATCCAGCACCCTCCTAATGCATCTGGGAAGACAGCAGATGACGGTCAAAGCTTGGGCCCCTGGATGGAGTTCTGGGCTCCTGGCTTTGGCCTGACCCTACCCCAATCAATGCAGCCATTTCAGAATAGAAGATCCCTCTCTGTGTCTCTCCCTGCTTCTTCTCTGTCACTCAGATTTTCAAATTAAAAAAAAAATCTGAAAAACAAAAAGTACCACAAGGAAACACTGATTTGATGCTAACCTTTACTTAAACTCCTTAAAGCAGAATAAACCTCCTTATATTCTGCTCTCTCATGGCGGGGGGGGGGGGGGTGGTGAAAATTTTTCAACATATAAATTTGGAAGGTTGTTAGCAAATCAGTCACCACCACACTCCATGAAGAATCCTTCCCATGTCCCCAGAAACCTCACTGAAGAAACAAAGGTCAGCGGGGGAGCGTGAGGAACAGCACTCTCAGATAGCAGGGAGCGGTTCTGGTTGGGAAGTCACCCTGTGTGGAAGGCAACTTCACACACACACACATGAGCACACACCACCTGTGTATGTGATTAACACGTATGAAAAGTAAGGGAGCAGCGCTGTGGCATAGCAGGTAAAGCCACCGTCTGCAGTGCCCTTACCCATATGGCCTGCTCCTCTCCTCACCCAGCTCTCTGTGTGGCCTGGGAAAGCAATGGAAGATGGCCCAGGTCCAGGAAAAAGCTCCTGGTTCCTGGCCTCAGGTCGGCCCAGCTCCGACTGTTGCAGCCATTTGGGGAGTGAACCAGCAGATGGAAGATATCTATCTATCTATCTCCCTCTCTCTCTTTCTCTCTCTCTGCCTCTTTGTTAACTCCACCTTTTAAATAAACAAATAAATCTTTAAAAAAAGAAAAGCTTTAAAAGCTCTACCTTCCCTGAGCCATTAACCACTCTTTACAAACCATACCTTCAATTACTAAGGGACAGGCGTTGTGGTGCAGCAGGTTAAGCCGCTGCTTGGGATGCCTGCTTCCCATACTGCAGTGCCTGGCTACTCTACTTCTGATCCAGCTTCCTACTAAGGCATCGTAGGAGGCAACAGATGGTGACTCGGACACTCAGGCCTCTGCCATCCTCTTCAGAGACCCAGAAGCAGCTGTAGGCTCCTGTCTTCAGCCTCTCTCTTTCAAAAAAAATTCAAAATAAGTAAAAATTATTTTTATAAGCTGGTAACTCTATGAGGGCATTTATTCCTCTAAGGCCTGAAAGTTGAAAAAAACATCAATAATATTTCACCAGATGAAACAATTAAAATTTCTTCTTTCCTTCAACTCTCAGAATCATATTTAATAAGCCTAAAATATCTATTTTAAATTATTTACTTTGCTCTAGCTAAAACCATCTTAACTCTAATTTTACCATTTCTCTTATTTCGTTCTATATCAAATCTATTTTGAAGAAATCCGATGTAACAGAAAAAAATTTTTAGAAGATTTATTTATTTATTTGAAAGGCAGAAATACGAGAGAGGAGACAAAGAGCTCTTCCACCCACCGGTCCCCCCGCAAATGGCTGCAATGGCTGGGGCTGGGCGAGGACAAAGCCAGGAGCTTCTTCTCAGCCTCCCACGCAGGTGCAGGGGCCCAAATACTTGAGCCATCTTCTGCTGCTTCTCCAGGCACAACAGCAGGGAGCTGGATCTGGAGCAGAGCAGCCAGGACTCAAACCAGCGTCCATAATGGGATGCCAGGACTGCAGGTGGAGCTTAACCTTCTAGGCCACAGCACCAGCCTCCACAGAAATTCTAAGATTCTCAGCACTCAGATGTCTCCTGGAGTACGGTGACCCAACACACCGGGTCATGGTTCAAAGGGACCCTGGGTCCACACCATCACATACAGAGGCCTTTAACAAGTGTAAAAGCAAAGAATTTTCAAATCGGTCCCCCACTTAAGAAACCAGGTCTTTCGAGTGTTTTCCTGATTCTCAAAGCTCCTTTCCAGATGGGACTCAACACTGCACACACATGACGTCAGGCCAAACCACCGAAGTTCACTGCAGGTCAACACTTGTCACAGAGCAGATTTTCAAATTTTACATTGACAAGTACCAGCTAGCTAATAAATACAAGAACGATCCCCCAGGAATTCCTCCTGGTCCCCCAACCCCACCGTGTGCTTCTCTCCCTGGCTTGGCCGGAGACCCTCACCAGCGTCACTCTACCAGCGATGCTCACCCACCTGCAGGTCACACCCACTCGGCACAGGAGTCTGTGCCACTTCTCCTCACCAAAAGCTCCCAGCAACACATCATTCTGCATAGCTTCCTGGAGCTCAGGGAGCTGGGGAGGAAGTGCACACCCGGAGTAAGAGCCTGGGGTCTTCACTGCCCCCAGCCACCCAGGGAGTGGGACCTCCCTGCCCGGGAGGAAAGTTCTAACTTCCGGCCTGCCTGGCTTGTCTGGCTGATGTGCCCCAGGTAACATTCCTGTGTGCCCCAGGTAACATTCCTGTATGCCAGTACGTGTCCCACATGATGTCCTGCTGGATAGAATGCTTTCTTAAAAGTTTAAAAAACATGGTTTGGTTTCATAGCAATCTTACAAAGTTATATAATTCTCGACTTTTCTAACATGCACATAGAATGTAATTTAGTGTTTTCTTCATGATTCAGAGTAGCCACCTGTTGTGCTGGGCAGAAAACCCTTACAGTGATTACACTCACCCCTGTTTAATTCACAAAATGGGCAGGACACACGGGAGGGCTGGTCTGTGCCACCTTCTGCAGTACACCCTAGCGCACTCTACAATCAGCACTTGGGCGAACCCCCAGGGGTGGGAGATGCCCCGCTTAGCATTCCTCCCTAGCCTCTCCCACTCTGACTTAATGTTTCCAATGTACACTTTAGGTCTTAGGAGCCACCCTCCTGCTCTGTAGGACTCCTTGGCTGTGTGAGTGTCCTGAGATGTAGGTCACAGAACACCTGTCCCACCTCCCTGCAACCTGGAAACCAGGGCGACTGGGCCATCTCCTTCCCATCCCTGAGACGGGAACCAAGACACAGGGGGAGAGAGAGATTTTTCAACAGCAGAAGAGAGTCAACGGCCCACAACAAAGGCGGCCATGCCACCAGCCACGAAACTCCACTTTATGAGGTCTGACTCTGGCTGTGGCCTCAACCACCCAGTCTCTTTCAGCTGTTTCCTAAACCCAGTTCTCCAGTCTTCCATCAATTCTGGAAGCTATCTATAGCCTTCCAGTAAATCCCTTTCCAGCTTAAGTCAGCCAGGGTTCACTCCTATGGCTGTCAACCAAGAATCATGAGGGGCACCATGACACTGTGTCCCCAAGGAATACTGCACCGCCTGTAAACTGTACGGCCAGCGCCCACTTATGTCTCCATATTCCCTGCCACCTTACACACTGCACCCTGGCGCAGCAGCTGGCCCAAAGCAAGCACGCGTAACTGTCCTGAATGAACTCCTTAATCTCCGGTGATCAATACTGGAAAATGAAGGCCACGGACGCTCTTGGGCCAGGTGCCGTCCCAAACCCAGCGCTACCTACGGTCCAGAGGGCCACAGAACTAGTTTACTCCCCTAGTCAGGGATTTGCAAAGCAGGATTCTTACCGCCTGGAATACAAACCACCCTCTTAATCAAGACAAGAGAAAAGTCAAATTACAAGAGTCTACTTTATTCAAGTTAGAGAGTTCTCTAATAAAACGATTAGAAGGACTGCTGCGGGAATGTGGCGAAATCCTTCAAATCCTTGAGAAGCCCTCCCATACTACTTCCTGCAGGCGCCTGCGGCTCCCCGGCGCCGTCCAGCCTAACACTTAGAAAAGGGTATCCACCTCCCGACCAGACTCCGCGCCGCCCGGAGAAGTCTGCGCGGCCGCCAGCACGGGACGCAAGGCGGGAACCAGGGTTTCTCAACTGGAGCCCCGACAGGACCGGTGGACTCCGCCCGGCCTGCTTTTCTGCGGATCTAAATGCATTCCAACAACGCGGCTGTTTTTCAAAGGAACCGGTGGCAGCGGTGCCATCAGCAACGCTCACACCGGCCCAGGCTCGCCACCGTGCCAGGTGCGCTCAGTCGTTAGCGACCCTGGCACAGCGAGCAGTAAGCGCCGCCGACTTGAACCCGCGCACTCATCTGGGTCAGATCGCTTAGGGTGCCCCCGGCGTGCGGGGCGCTGCGGGGCAGGCAGTCCGCGGTCACCCGCGTCTGTGCTGGGTGCTCCGACGGCGCCGCAGTGAACTGACTCCAGCGAGCGCATCACCCGACGCCGCCAGCCTCCGGTGAGGCCGCCACTCGGCTCACCACCCCGACTCAACTGCCTACAGAGGCGACGTCCACGCGTCCACGGACGCCAGCCCGCCGCCCCCCAAAACCCAACGTGACCCACAGAGCGCCAGGGCCACCCGTGCGCCTCCACCGGCCGCGGCCTCGCGCTGGGAGACGGGCGAGCAGCCGCGGCGACTGCCCTGGGCCTGGGGCTCCGAAGCGCCCGCCCACGCCGGCGGCCCTAACGGAAGGCGGCCGGGACGCCGAGGGCTGAGCCGAGAACGGGCTGGCGGCCTGGGGCAGCCACCGCTGGGAACCGCGGCTGACGCCCTGCGGGCCGAGCGGCACTGGCTTCTCCCATCGGGGCCACCACCCGGGCCGGCAGGGCTGCGCGCGGAGGGCGCAGGAGGACGGGGCCGAGGGCGCGGGGCGGCGGGCGGCGGGCGCGAGGCGGCGGCCGCGGTGTCCGGGCGTGGGTCTGGGCGGGCGTCGGGAGGGAAAGGCGAGCAGGGAGGGGCGGAGGCGGGGGGAGGGGGGAGGAGAAAGAGCGAAGGGCCCTGACCGGGCTCGGGGCGCCCGGCCGCCAGGCCCCGGGCCCTCAAGCCACCGCCCCCAGGCCCTGCGCTGACGCTGGACGGTCCCCGCCTCCAGACCCCCCGCCCCGCCAGAGAATAACTTACCTGTTTGCCGACGGAATCGCTCCTGCTCGCCCCTCTGACTGACTCCTCCGGCTCACCGTCTTCCCTTTGGGAGGAAGGGGTGGGACTTCCTGTCTCTCCTTTGAGCGACTTCCGGCGGCTCCGAGGACCGCTCCGTTGCGGATGGAACCCCGGACACCACGACCGAAAAGCAGAAACTTGAAGCTGGTTCCGCAGAACTCAAGTCGAGTTCGTTCTTCTTGCCCCGAGCGGCCGACGCTGTCTTATTTTTAGCTCGTCAGCTCCTGCCGGAAGTCATTTGGGGAGGAAACAGGAAGTCCCACCCCTCCCCAGGAGAAGGAAAACGGAAAACCGGAGGAGTCAATATTAAAAGGGAGGACGCGGGTCAGGCTCGTAGGTGGGCGGTGTCGGCCGAGGAGGGCCGCCGGGGACGTCCGGGGGGTTCCTCCCGAGCCGATCCCGCCTCCTTCCTGCTGCCTTCCTCCACCTCCGGCCGCCCTGGGCCAAGGACCCCCAGGCTCAGGCCCGTGGGGTGCTGCCCGCCATGGCCGGTGTGGTTCCTGGGGCTCCAAGTGAACGAGGTGTTTCAGGAGTGCGGGGCGTGTGTGCTACTCCGCGTTAGGAGAAACAAAGATCTCGAAAGACCGAAACAAAACCCGAGCTCCTGGAATCTGAGGCCGCGGGGAGCCAGGAGCTGGATGCCGGCAGCAGCGAGGAGGCGGAGGAGCCGAGCGGTGTGGCAATAAAAGTTGAAAACGCCCCGCGTGGTCGTGATACCCCGGGTGTGGGAATTTTTTTTTTTTTTTTAACGAACGTTAACGGCACAGTGCGAGGGATTGTTGGGAGGAAAACAAGGCTGGACTGCAGTATTCAGCAGCCCCAGCCCATGGCGCCCCTCACCCAGGTCGGTCCAGGAGCCCCCAAGTGTTGAGCCCCAGAGCCCGGCGCGGAAGACCCCAACCCGAGGGGCTGCGCCGGCTGCGGGCAGGGGCGGGCTCCCACCTGGCGCACCACTGGACAGAGGCCTTGCTGAGGGGCCAGGTGCACCAACTCAGATTTGTATTCAGCTCGCTGATGGGCTCTGCAGACCAAATCATGGCCCAGGGCCCATCCCAGCACAGTTCAGCTCAAGCCGGGACGCACTGAGGCCATGACCCCCGCACCTGACTTTTCGTGGCAATCCACACGCATCCTCACCCCCACCCACACCGGGAAACTGCCCTTCACAGGGTCACTGTGCCAAGGCCACACAGCCAGCAAGAGCGGTTGAAACTCCAGGCAGCCTCTTCCACTCTGCTGACCCTGGTCGCAGGGTGGCGGGTCGGCCTCCCGCTGCTCCACTTCCGACCCAGCTCCCTGCTGATGGCCGGGGAGGCAGCGCGATGGCCACGTGCTGGGCCCCTGCACCTGCCCGGAGCCCCCGAGCAGCCCGACGCCTGCCTCCTGGCTGTTGCCGCCCTCTGAGGAGGGGCCAGGCCTGCAAGATCCCTGCCTCTGCCCCGCTCTCGCCACTCCGCCTTAAAAGTGGGGAAGACAGCCTCCTCACAGCGGAGGCCAGCGTGCCAGTGTTGCACTTAGCGCCTCGGTCAACACTTACCGGGTGCCTGCTACCTAAGGAAAGTCAGACGATTCTGGAAATTAAGGGCTCGCAGCCTCCGTTCGGGGACTAGCCAGCAGCGTTAGTCTGGAACAAGGCTGATTGCCTTCTTGACCCCCGTGGGCAGCTCAATTCCCGTTAGGGATTAGGCATTGCCTGGGTCTTGGGGGTTGTATCTCTGTCAGTCAACACCTTCCTCTTGGAGCAGGGACGTTAATTCCGAGGTTACTATTTGCTAAAAAAAAAAAGACCACCCCATGCTATGTGACCATGAGGAAGTCATTTGATCTCATTTCCAACTGAGAGGTTCCATTTGATCAAAGTCTCCTTTCCTGACTGTGGGTAGAATTCAGAGCCAGCCTTCTCTCCTCCTATCTTTTTTTAAGATTTTTTTTATTTGACAGGTAGAGTTATAGACAATGAGAGAGAGACAGAAAGGTCTTCCTTCCATTGGTTCACTCCCCAAATGGCCGCCACGGCCGGATCTGCTCTGATCCGAAGCCAGGAGCCAGGTGCTTCCTCCTGGTCTCCCATATGGGTGCAGGGCCCAAGCATTTGGGCCATCCTCCACTGCCTTCCCGGGCCACAGCAGAGAGCTGGACTGGAAGAAGGGCAACCGGGTCTAGAACCCAGAGCCCATATGGGATGCTGGCGCCACAAGGCGGAGGATTAACCAAGTGAGACACGGCGCAGGCCCTCTCCATCATTTCAACTGTGCTTGATCTGGACAATGCAGAACTGTGGTGACACAGTTGCCTACGTCACTGGAAGCTGGCCCCGCCTGGGACTTCTACTTACATTAGCCAGAATAAAGGTTTGCTTGCCATGGTCTATGTAGGTTGAAATTAGTTTCTGTTTTACTTGTATGGTGAAGTGATCTAAATGATAACAGGAACGTTGTGACAAAATCTTCCACAGGTGCCTTCCCAGGAAGTCATGAAGGAAAAACAACAGAGCAGATTTCCAAATTTCTTAAGTTAAAAGAAATATATATACCCCAGCACAGTTGAGAAAATAAAGTACTCAATAGATTTACAACTTTATCAAAGTACACATGATCTTCTATTGAATAATGAATAGTAAACTCTTAACAATAGCAGATGGAAAAATTAAAAGAATATATGAAAAATTAAAATATATCCACTGTTAAACACCAGGTATTCTGC